AGCACAAGTCTCACTGACAGCTACAGAAACCGTCTGATTGCAGCGATCGCCTCAAAAGGTTGAGCAACAACATGTTAAGTGAAGGTACCATCATGTTAGTCCAGGCCGGCTTCATGAGTTTATTTTTTAAATAGTTCTGTTGAACCATGGTTCAAAACCAACGTCTGATTTCCATTGGTTAACTTTCATAGAATTTTTATTTATTATTATTTTTGTCAGATTCAAGTTATTTCTGAGACCATTGTGGGTTTTCCTTTCATTAACCGACCGGTACCAACTACTTGGTCCATGTGTGTACAGTTTAAAGCGAGCTGCCAGCTTGCTGCTCTGAGGGATTTTTAAAATCTTTATTCACTTTGCAGGAGAGTCCCTGCAGTGATTGCCATGTTTTTAAGTCAGGGCTTGTTTCCATCACATCAACATCTTTCCCAGATTGATTTTAAGGCTGTTCTTGTTACGGTAAACTATGCTGATGGTGTCATTCTTATTATGCCCCAATCCCAACGGTAATCCAGCTGGATTATCCTGTTCATTTATTATATTTCAATCATTCAGTGACTTCAGGTTTCCACTTTTTTAGACGGGTCACATAACCTGAGTCATATATTTTCACACTTTTTTTAAAATTATTTTTTTGGCCTTGTTGGATAGGACAGTTGAGAGAGAGACAGGAGAGTGGGGGAAGGACTTGCAGCAAAGCGCCATGAGCGGGATTCGAACCCACGGCCGCTGCATCAGGGACTGTAGCCCCTGTACGTGGGTCACCAGCTCAACCAGGTGAGCCATACATTCGAACACTTTGCCTCCTCTGCCAGACGCGCCGTCAGTCCTCCCTCTGCTCACCTGTATACGGGATGAGCCCCTCCAGGTGAGTCCGGGCTCCCTGGTACTGCAGCAGCTCCTCGGGCGGCAGGTGAGTGAGCAGCACCTGGAGGACGGCCTGAGCGTCCAGACAGTTCCTGGCGTTGGTGTTCCACACGGCACAGTAGCGCAGGATCGACTCTGAGCGGGACGACAAACCACAACGGGGTCAAGTGTCAGCCAGCAGCCAGCGGAAATGGAAAAACAGAAGAAACACAGACGGTGTTATTACTATCTCCACTGGCAGGAATGCTCCCCGCAGAGTTTCCTGGTTGGATGCCAGCATTGTTTGAGAGTGAGTCAAGAAAAACTAGCAGCGTTAAGAAATGTCAAGAATTCCTGGGACTCTCCCGAGCCGTCACCGTGCCCACTTCACCTGTTGTCAGCAGCCTCCATGTGCTCGGCTTCTTTATCCGGTTGCTTCATAACTAAAAAACAACAAAACCTCATTTAACGCGTTACCTTTTTGATCCAACCGAAGCTTCAGCAGCGTCTTCTCCAGCAGCTCGCCGCTGTTCTCCCCCTGACGGATGGCTAGAAGCAGCACAGGACAGAAGTCAGGAGCTGAAGAAGATTTCTTTACATTGAGTCTGTAACAGTGATTGAGCTGGTACTCCTCACAGGCAGAATAAGATTTAATCTGTTCACTGGTAACGTGTCGTCACAGAAAGCTTCATTAAGTGGTAAATCGTGTCCATGCAGAATAAAAAAAAGTTCTGTGTTCCTGCTAATAACTGGCGCTAATCATGCACTTATTTCATTGCATTCGGGAAACGGTGCATTCGGAAAAATAGGCAGTGGAAGTGACGACACGGACCTGAGAAACCTGTTCTCCATCTATTAATTCATGTTCCACTAACAGCAGCAAACACACTGGGGAGTGGAAGCTGCATTATGCTCAGGATTACAACACCAGATACCCGGACACGTCCTTTGTGTTGCTTTTTCAGTGTCAGCATGAGAAGGTGTAATTAATTCAACGAGGCGTCGTCACTGGAAAACTTAGAAAGCCTGTCTTTTGTCTGACACACGTGTGCGTCCTGCATCTGAAGAAAAACCACTTCCAGCCTTGAAACAGATGCAGAAAAGACATTTTCTACAACAAAATGTCAGTGCACATGTCTGCGCAGCCAAAGAAAAGGAAATGACAGCGTAGAATGTTGTTTTTTCGGTTCCTTGCATCAGTGCTCAGGTGACTCAACTCCTGCAGCAGAATGAGAGCTGACAGATGGAGCCGATGACAGACGATCAGTGGCGATCACGGATGCAGATAAAGTACCTTTGATAACAGTGAGCACGGTGTGCGGCTGGTCCAGCGAGATGGCGAGACCCAGGGCCTTCAGATACTTCTTCTCATGGAGCAGGTTGGACAACTCCTGCTGCCTTTAGACAAAACACACACAGACACTCGTTCACACACATTGCTGGGAGTTTGTGCAGCGATCAGGAATGTTTCCTGCAGATTCACTCGAAGGATAAGAACCGAAAACGTAAGAAAGAAAAACGTAGTTCCTGGATAATCACTTGAATGGATGCCAGCACATTTATACAGTCTCAAAGATGAACACACGTCTGTTGTCTGAAGGCTGAAGCTGTGGCACACGATGAGGTTTAACTGTAATTAAATAAAGCACATGTTTATTTTTATGATTAAAATGTCTGAATTTGTCTCAACCCTCAGTCCAACACTACGACCACCGCCGTCCTGGTGAGATGAATTATTGATAGAAACTAAAGAGACGAAACATTTCTAAGGTTAATTTTGGTCATTTTAACTCTATATTTGATAAATACCAAATCCACTTCCTCTTCGTCAGACGTTACATGTGCAGGACAATCAGTGGCTTCTGTCTGCAGAGCCGCCTGACAAACAATCAGTAGTCTGAGACCTGAACGTTACACTGATCTATTCCAACCTCTGACCTGTGAACCCAGCTCAGACAAACACAGCCCTCTGTTTATTTATCAGGTCGGTCATTCCAGTCGGTCCAGTCAGTTGCTTGACCGTGGACCTCGTCATCATCTCTTGAAACTCCATAGGAACGATCTTTGGCATCTGAATCTGACATCTGCCCATTTTTTAGCTGAACTCCAACACTGTCATAATGCTTTGGAGCGAGATGCCACTTTCAGACGTCCACATCCTACAGCCTTTAGATTTTTAGGAGATATTAAGAAGGTTTTGGTGAATGGAGAGAATCAATCAAGATTTGCTCAAAAATCGCAGATAAAGTAGATTTTCAAACAAATGAACAAAATGTGTATATATCTAATACATAGGCTCTGTTTTAAAGAAAGAAAGGCTGGGGACTGGCCATGTGTGTCAATGAGAGATGGTGTAATGCTAGCACGTTAGCATTAAAGAGCGGCGCTGCACGAAGGATGTTGACCTGCTGGCAGTTGGTTTGCGGTTGTTTTACCTGCTGAGGGAGTTTTCGCCTGTCATGGCGATTACAGTTTCCATCCCCCCTCATGCTGATGCTGCTGCAGCCTGTGAGCTCATCCACAGCTCAGCTGCAAACATCACACCCTGAGTCTCTGATGGTCATCTCAGGAGACTTTAACCAGACATGGCTCACTGCCGCTCTCCCCACATTCAGCATGTGGACGGCCCAACCAGAGACGGTGGAGCCTTGGACCTGCTGTGTGCCGACACCAAGGATGCATATGACTGAATTATTGTTATTTTCTTGTACTTTCTCCATTTCTGGATGCTGCTGTGGCGTGTACATTTCCCCCAATGGGAGATCAATAAAGAATTAATCTATTTTATTTTATTCTAAAAAAAAAACAAAAGAGTCTTGATTGCCAGGATTTGCTGCATTTTCTCCATCACCAGACATGTCTGAACACCTCCTGACAACGTGAAGACGTCTGAAAGTGGCTCAAGTTCCAACACGGGAGCGATTCACTGAAAACTTCCATTTGGTAAAAAAGGATAAAAATGTTGATATTCAGCAACCAGATTGGCATCAGATTTCAGTTTCAGGTCATTCCTACAAAGTCTCAACAGATTCTGAAAAGGTCAAGCAGCCACCTGGGCTGAGTCGACTCAGGTGACAAACAGGTGAGAGAGCAGAACCAGAACCAGGTGAGGGATTCTCTATTGCTCCGACTGAACAGACGAGGATGGAGGCTCTTACTTGAGTATCTGATCCTCCTGCTTGGCCTGCTCCTCTGCCACCTCCTCTTCAGTCACATCCTGGTGGAGCACAACAGAAAGCGTTTGTGTTGCTGTGATAATCTACTAATGATCTGATCTCGTTCAGGTAGAAACAACCACACAGAGCAGACACATACTGTACACGCTTTATAAAAGAACAAGAGTTACTGATGTCACAAGTCTATGAGTTCATGCTGTAAATGTTCATGACCTCCACTGACCTCTGTGGGTGTGAGATGAGGACACTCGTTAGCACTAACGAGAACAGTTTTTGACATATATGAATTCCTTAACTGCTGAATAACTGATGTAATGTGTCCTTGTTCACCACATGTCCAGTGTAAACAATGTTAAGCTGCCTTCACATGTTGTTCTCTTGTCTTTTTTCATCTTTAGTCAATTTCTTTAGTTCTATTTTGTGATTTGTTGCAGCTTTCCAGGACATTTGTGTTCATTAAGTTTAAGAGAAAACAACACTAACAGCCAGACAGCAAAAGTTCTTTTTAGCTTTCTATCAGTTTTGCTGCTAAATGATGTCGTCAATCTTCTCCGCATGGCCGTCGTTCAGGAGAAGTCCTACTCACCACCCACACGGTGATGTTGGAGTCGGCCGAGCCCGTCACCATCTTGTCATCCTTGCGGCTGGAGTGGAGTCCCCACACTTTGTCCTGGTGGGCGTCCAGCGTCTTCACACACTCGTTGGTCTTTATGGTCCACAGCTTCACTAAACCGTCGGAGCCACTGAGCAAAAATGATAGAAGAGACTATTTAACGCCATCAGAAGCAGGTTGATTCACATCAATACATGTGGATTCCAGGTGGGTTTAGAGCAGAACACAGAAGAAAAATAAAACAGATTTCAACAGGAATACAACCAAAAAATCATTGCTTCGATTAACCAGGTAAAAAGTCTAAATATTCTGGGGTTTAAGCCTCTAAAATGGGAAGATTTGCTGCTTTTCTTTTAGCTTTTCTACAATTGTACACAAATAAATTTGGGTTTTGCACGGAAATAGGAATTTAACATTAATTAATAACAAAGTCTCATGAGTGGTGAATGTGCAAAAAGTAAAAAAGATTTACTCTCAACCAAAGAAATTACTATATATCTATATATAATTGACCAAATTTAGCTGCTTCTTTTATTTTTTTAAAGAAGAAGCAGCTGAATTTGGTGGTGAAACAGCCACAGGAGAAGTTTTTAAAATCTTTTTTAAAGTTACTGTCTGAATTTTTTTTGGGAATTTTTAATGCAAGCATCAGCAAATTATAAATAAATCAACTGTTTACAAATGTGGAAAATTTCCAGTAGTTCCTCAAAGTTTCATAACTTCAGTCAAACACCACAATGTTGTAAAACACCTATTTTCTTATTTTTTTAAATCTTATTAGTGACGAAGCGTGACAAATAATTTTGATGTAAATGTTTTTAGAACTACGTCACGGAAGTTGATCCACATCTAAGATATCTTGATAAGAACACATCAACTTTATTTCCCTGAACCTTGAGTACAATGTCCTGATTTAAAACTAACGCTGCATTCAAATGCATCCGCAACAGTGGGAACAATGAACAGCTGCGTTTTGTTAATATCATGAAGAAGCAGTTTTTTCTGTCTGCATATTAAAAAGCAATGAGTCTGTTTTAACTTGTTAGACAGAAATCTGCACTTTCCTTGTATTTCTGATGAAATGATTTTAAAAAAAGAAGTTTTGAGTAAATTAAACTTCTTAAATTCTCAAATGTTATCACTTGGCCGCAGGTGGTTTCCTTCAGCCGTTGCTAAAACCTCCAGAAACGTGTCTGTGCAGTAAAAACCCTGCAGGAATGCTGTGCGTGAGACTCTGTGTGGTTACCTGGTGAGCAGCTGAGTGCCTCGACTCACAAACACAACCTTCAGAACGGACGCATCGTGACCCTCGAACGTCTGAACAAACCAGAAGGAAACAAGTGTTAAAGGAGCTCACATTAAAGCCGGGACTCCGTTCTTCATCCGACACCAGAGACAATCCCTCGCACTCACCTTGAGGCAGCTGAAGTCTTGGAGGCTCCACAGCTTGGTGGTGCCGTCTGCAGAGGAGGAAGCCAGCACCTGGTCGACAGGTGAGAAGCAGACGGCCCAGACGCCGCGGCGGTGACCCCGAAACACCCCCAGCAGGCCCACGGTCCCGTCTCCGCTCAGGGACCAGAGCTTGGCGGTTCGGTCCTGGGAGCCCGAAGCCAGCAGCTTGTCGTTGGGAGACACGGCGACGCTGTTCACGTCCTGGAGGGATGAAAAGGGGAGCGATGAGGAGTCACTTCTCACAAGACGATGACATTTTTATGAGAGAAAGTTCAAGTGAATCAATTTTTTAAAACTCCTGAGACAGAAACGAGTGCAAAATGGAAAAGCTAAAAATCTACTTTTCCCCAAGAGAAACAGACGATTACTTCCCTGCTCTACCTCCAGCATTACATCACCTGCTTGTGTTCTACGTGTTGTTTGTGTTTTACAGGTTCAGGGACAGGAGTCGGCTGACTGACCGACTGAGTCTTGAGTCATCGGTGTGGAGGGAGAGCAGGAAAGTACGCTCACGTCATCAGCTCCACTCGTGAGCACATCAAGTTTTCCTGCACTTCCTTCAGAAGAGAATCACTGCACGACAGTTTACATGACTGGAGACTGACTCAGCTGTGTGCGTCTATTTACTGTCACAGCTCTAATTAGCAAAGAACAGCTGCGTCATTGCTCGTTGTGGAGAAGGAAGAAGCCACAGGATGAATAAAAGCACAACTACAGACTGGACTGAGGACAGACTGACCTGTTTTTCTCTGTGTTATTTTACAAAGTTCCAAAATCTGCCTCAGCTGGAGACAGTGACCCCGTTTCTTGTGTAAACTGTTCCCCTGCTGAGTAGACAGCACAGGTTTGTCATCGCAGAGAGGACCAAGTAGGAACAATGGTGCCATGCATCAGTTCCTCATGTTACTGAAGAACTGCTGAAGTGATGGTCCAGGTCAGGAGACGTTCACAAATCTAAGCTTAAAACTGTCACATTGCACCAGAATGACTTCATTCCACATGTGGTGTTTAAAAATTGGCCAAAATTAAAGTATTTGCTGAAACTAGATTGTAAAAATCTGAGACTCGCTGAGCAGTGACCAACGATCATGTGACGAAAACTCAGAGACCTTTAGGCTTCAATGCCGGCTGCGTCTACGTGGAGCAGATAGGAGATATGGGCAGCAATTAAACATTTAACGAGCAAAACATACACAGTATGGGAGGTGTTTGTAACATCAGCAAGCTCTGAGAAAAAATGATTCACATGCTGAGTATTTTTTTTAAATTCTGGTAAATAAGTAATGGAGGAAATTCCCTTGATTTTCCTGTTCTACATTTATGGCATGAACACTTTGTGACACTGCACACGAGACATCTGTGAGCTCTCTGTGCTTATAGCTGCAGTTGTTCTGGTTCCACAGAGGAGCAGTGAAAGAACAATCCACAGTGAAGAAACGTGTGACGAGAGCAGAAAACACCCAGAAGCTGCAGTTTAAAAGTTGAAGGTTAACAGATTAAGTGTACAGAAGCTCAACCAGCGACCTTCTGGCTGTGAGGCGACGGTGCTAACCACCGAGCCACCGTGCTGCCCTGTTTCTAATGTGAAATTTAGAATTTCAATATAATTCATTCCTGTTTTGAGTCATTTTTTACAAAAGTCTACAACCTCATAGGACATTGAAGTCTCCACACAGCTGCTGTGTGTACGCGTCTATCTATTGTCGGATGTTTTTCTCCTTCGGCTGATGAACGTTCAGTCTCGTACCTTATCGTGAGCCTTCTCCGTGGCGCGAGCAGTCAGCAGATGGATCTCCTCCCCTGCTGTAGGAAAGTCTGCTGGCAGGTCCCACACCTTCACCGTACAGTCCTGACTGCCGGTCACCACGAAAGACGCCTTCATCCTGGACACAAACACAAAGACGGAGAATCCTTCTTGAAACATTTACCCGTAAGCTGTGTCAGCACATGTGATGAAAATGTAGGAAGTGTCACCTGGAGCAGGTGATGGAGCCCACGGCGTTGGCGTGGCTGGAGCCCTGAGCCACACATCGCACCTGACCGTCACCGTCCATCTGCCAGACACGCACCGACCTGTCCTGAACACAGACACACAACACAAACACACACTGCTGGTTTAAAGGTGCAGCCTGCCTGCTTGTACACAACCAACCCAAACTACGAGCAGAGGACAGACTCATGAATCCAGTGAGGTTGGTGGTTGTAGCTTGGAAGAAACAGCATCGCCTGCTCCTCTCTGTCCCATTTTAAAATGGGAAATATTGAACAAGCAGTCGGTTTTAGCACCACTGGGAGACTCCCGTCCTCTGCTGAGTCCTCCGTGCAGCAGGATGAGGACGGAGTCTGCATCCGGATCTACGGCTCCACCAGCCAGTAAAAACTATGCAAAGATGCAGCAGCAGCAGCCAGGAAGTTCAGCTCCAATGAAAGATGATTGTGGATGATTTAAGATATCTTCAGCAGAGCGATCAGAGAGTGATGCTGCAGTTTGAAGTCTGTAGACCCACAACAACGACTCCAGAACATTTGCACAGTTTCACCAGGAACAGGATGAAGTCTGCAGCCGGATCTTTGGTTCTTCCAGTCAGTAAAACAATCTAAAGAACTCATTCTCACGAGCTGTGTTTGTGAGCTACAAGCTATGAGAAACTGACATCCAGTTCCACCCTGGATGTGGCTGCATGTTTCTCTTTTAGCCGTTATTGCTGTTGCACGTCTATGACATTTGGAGCGAAGCCTCTGAACGCCGATTCATGATTTCCACAAGGGCTGGCATGGCACAACGAGCACACTGTCTGCACAACAAGAGCACTGATTGTGCATGTGCAAGAAAGAACAAATGACAAATGTTGAGGGGATTCTTCATCATTCACACCTTTTAAATTCATCATAGATCAGTTGTAGTTTAAGCAGCCACTGCTGGACACGAGTGCTGAGACTTGAACATGTTCTGAATCAGCAGCTCAGAAATCCTGTCAAATCCAAACTAACCACTAGATCTAGAATAAAAAGAAATCCCAGCCAACCTTTAGGAAACAACCTGAAGAGCACAGTTTTTGTGGCGTTCGTTATGTGCGTCAGTTTAACGTGGACTCATCTTGCAGAAACCATGAATCGGATCTGACGGCGCGCTGAGAGGACGGTGTGTTCGATCAGCTGTCAAACATCAACAAACCTTCTCATAAATACATGAGAGGCTCCACCTTTAGATGTGGTTTCGTATTTGTTCTATTTATAGACGAGCATTCGGTCCCGTAGGTGTGTTGGCGCTGATGTGCCAAATACCTGAAAACAGCTCTAATTAGTGTCTCTTCCTGTTCCTGGTTGTTCTTACCTTCGCACAGCTGGCAAAGAGGGACCCTTTCTTGAACACGTCCAGTGTGAGGACAGTATCTGAGGGGGAGACAAACAGATAAACCCAGAGAGATAAATTCAACCTGCTCAGCAAGACATACGTTAACAAAACACAAATCAGACACCAGCTGACTGCCTCAGACTTCTGGTATCTCCAATCAGTTCAGTGATCCTGAAGTGAAACGAGAGAGAACCTGTCCTTTTACCTCCAGTAAGCTGAAAACCAGGGACAAAGAACACATCACATTGTTCATCTCTACATTAAAAATGGACATTTAGTCAAAAAACAGCAGCAGCTCCACCAGCACATACTTTCCTTTAAGACAATAATAATAATAATAATAATTAAAGCCGCAAGCGGCGATGGACGGGTCCTCGCACCTACGCTTGTCGGCCTTCGCGCACGGCGGGACTGTGATCCGGCATGTCGAGTTTGGGGCAGATCGGAGCAAGTGCGGCCTAGTTACGAGCCACTTCCTGTTTA